TCGCAAAAAGTAAAGCCTAAAATGGAATTACATAACATAACCTTTCCTTGTTGATCTTGTTTATCATATTTTATGACTGTTTTCATGCAAGTGCGAAAAAAAGACGCACGTAAAAAGATGAAGTCAGACGTTAAATGGAATGGCTTACCAAACGTTGCGCAAACAAGAGAAACCAATATACTCATCAGTTTATTGTCACTTGAAGCTATGATTGTCCATTTATTAACTAGTAAGCCATTGAATATGATGTGATATACACCTGTCAATATCCTATTGACTGTGGCGATATCCGAGGTCATTAATTCTTTTTTCCGGTGAATATCACATCTTATTCAATGGATCATTAGTCAACATTCGTGTTATTATAAGATCAACCGTTAGTACCATAGAAAATTTGAAGTGCTTTTATGCAAATGCGGAAAAATACGCACGTAAAAAACTGATGTCAAACGTTCAATGGCTACGTGAATGCTGCGGGAACAAAAGTAATCAAACGTCTTATCATTCCTCCGGAACATTTAACATTTATTGCGAAGTTATTAAATTTGAATCGATAAATATGTCGTGGCGCAGGAATGTAATAAAGCCATTTAATACAATCGATATTACACCAGACGATATTACACTTTGACGTGACGTCATTTGCGCTAAAAACATAGCAATAAAACGCGCTAATGTTAGCGTTACACTATAGGCGCGTCAAATAAAAATGGCTCTTGTTAATAGTTCACCGTTCTTATTTTATATATTATGTGATAAATAGAATATTATATTCGTGTAGATTCAATACTTGATTTATTGAACTCGTTGAATAAAAAATATTATGCTCGCCAGAGGTTCGCATAATATGATTTTATTTAACTCGTTCAATAAATTTAGTACTAAACCTACACTCATTTAATATCCTCCATAAAAAGATCAATTATTTTTATCCACACGCTTAATTTAATAGTCTATGAGTCTGATTCGGTTTTAAGATAGAAAAAGTCAAATTCAGAAAGTAAAGATGACGATTGAGTGTTCAATGAGTTCAATACTGAAGTCATTGCGCGGGTTGAATAAAGTTTTTTTTATTAACGAGTTCAATGAATTCATTCAAGAATGATATTCTATCTATCACATCCCCAAAATAAAGACCGTTTAAAGTGAAAAATAGAGTCATTTTTGATTGACGCACCTCTTGTGTAACGCTTACATTTAGCGGGTCTTTACACAATGTTTGTATAACGCTAATGGCGTCACGTCAAAATATATGCACGACTGTGCAAAGCCATGTTTACGGGGTTGCTAAATCGGCATGGGTGTGGGATAAATAGACGTTGAATGAGTGTAAGTTCAATACTGAATTTATTGCACGAGTTAAATAAAATTATATTATGCGAGACTTTGGCGAGCATAATATTATTTTATTCAACGAGTTCAATAAATTCAGTAATGAACTTACACAAATTTAATATTCTATTTATCACATACCCAAACATAAAGACCGTTTAAAGTGAAAAAAGGGTCTTTTTTCATTGACGCGCCTATATTATAACGCTATCATTAAGCGCGTCTTTACACTTTGTATGTATAACGCTAATGACGTTACGTCAAAATGTATGCACGGCCGTGCCATACCAATTTTACAGAGTCGCAAAATCGGCACGTGTGTGTGATAAAGAAGAAAATACGACAATCAATTTTATGCATGTAACAAAAATAGTAATTCCTGTATGCCCATTGAATGTGTGTCTTTTTTTCTAGATAGGAAAAATCCTATTCAGCCATTGAATATGACACTACACCCGGTGAATATGAATTATGCACGCAGAGTTAAAAGTCTAAGCTGTAAGGTCAAATATGAGTATGCAAATATTTTTAGATCAGGCTATCAAAAATAGTAATTGAATATACTCTAAATTCAGTTATTATGATTTAACTATTTTCTGTGTTTACTTTTGTTTGGACCATTGACTCTGCAGCTATTGTTATGTAATAAACATCAAAAATAGTTGTTAATGACTGATCTAAAAAATAAACATTGAACGAGACACTGTCCATAAGAGACTGCTAACTACGCGTGCGTAACTGTTGTAGTTTGGTTTTATGGCATACTTTGCGATTCCAACATCATTAATTTAGAATAACAGTCAAATGTAAAACCGCAATGACAAGTATAACTTTATTTTTTCTAGTGCAGCTTTCGCGTAGCCGTTGACCGTCTGACGTCACATGTCAATAAGATATTTGTTCAAAGGAATTGATGACATTTTATCTATAACAATTTTCTCACAATTATGTGTGAATTAACAAATTTTTTCTTAACAGTGAAATCACCTCATTCTATGCATACTCGTATATTCTAAAATACGCCTAAATGACGTCGTTTAACGAGATTCATCCATAAAATGAGCTACAATGACGACATCGTATAACACGCAACACATCTGGCACCCACTTGAGAAATGGACAAAACTACCGAAAACGCCAGTCAGATATGCTTGAATTTACTTTTTGTGTTGTTTTTTTATTTTATACTCCAATAATAAATCAATTATTGACTAGAGAGCCATTGCAGGTGAATTTCACATCATATTAAATGGCTCACTTGCCAGTCAGTGTATAATAACATCTATTAAGGAATAACGCATGGTTATAAGAATGATACTAATTGTCTTACTAATTGTCAATAATGTCTATATGTAACGTTTAATTTTGATTAAATATTGGAGAGTTTCATACTGAAAAAGTAAAATATGAAAAATAAGATCAACAGAAGAGTTGTATTTAATAGACGCTTCACCTAGGACGACTCAGCAGCACAGGACTACCGGCAAGGTGCCCAGCGGGACACCAAACAAATACAGGACAAGGCAATCCATATTTACAAACTAAGTAAATTAAGATATGAGAAAGTAAGATACTTTATATCTCAGTAATCTAGTATTATTATGCAGTTCATTGATGTTGTTAGGAATGTTGTCACATTTGAATATCAAATACAAATGATTTTATTATAGCAAGTAACATATTGCAAGTCAAAAGAAAAGCAATAAATGTATAAAAAAGAAATAAAAAACATAGAACATTATCGTGAGTAGTAAATCAAGGTACACCATCTGCAATATTTAAATTGTTTTGTTTTTAAAATGACCAATTTTCAGTCATTATAGTCATGATGTTTCAGTACAGTATATTATCAATTTGTGAGATAAAAAATAAAGGAAAAGTCAAATATGCTTCATATGTGTTAAAAAATATTTCAAGTACGATTTTAACAACTTGAATGCACATTATGTTTATTTAATATCGCTGACAGCTTAAATATTTAATTACACGATGTTGACTTTGAGATATTATTACTAAAATTCATCACATGAAGTTATTAAATTCAACAATAATTTAACTTCAATGCGACGTTTAGACATTTCAATAAATCATATAATGAATTTATGATGTGATAATTTAGGTAATGTCACACATTATATTACAAAATTTAAAATATTTTCAAGACCATTTGCACTTAAATTTATGTATTTGTACGTTTAAGGCATTATTTTGTCATGTTTTGTTATTTCGTGCGTTTTTGATTGCCATTCAAAGGTCCGTATTGGGATATATATATTTCCTTATTTAGCTTTTTGTATCGTAATATGCATTATAGAGACAATGCCATACAATCAAATTTACAAACGTTAAAATGCTAATTCACATTAAATAGTTTAAATAGTGACCTTGTAAAATACCCATCAAATTTTAAAGCTTACTCGTGAAAGAAAATTTTAGTTATTACATCAGACATGAGCCTGTAACACAACATTCCATAAGATAGATTGATAGCTTTATAATGTAGAAGGTATTAAAACCACTGGTGGGATTAAAAGTCACGATGGTATAAGACAAGTGGTTTGAAGTTATGGACCTTATAGACATGGCCACGGGCGCCCCACATACTGTGAAAATATGTTAAAACAAATATTCAAAATTTGACCTCGACCTGCATTTGATGAAGTTACACTTATATAAATAATATATGTACTTGTAATGACAATAAATATCTTATGAACAAAATCTCTAAAATCGTGCATTTTCTTTATTAATTGACTGTACTGTACCCGTGTTAATTGGTTACAGGACAAACAAATCATTTGTAAAATATCAGATGTAACGTTGTTTAAACCAAGATTAATTAAATTGATGTATTCAGAAGAAGAAAAAAAACAACATTGGCTTAGTTGAATATTTTGCCATACCCTTTTATAACTGATCATCCGAGATTATCAGATAGGATTATTTCTGTTTCAAAGATGTTAAGGTGTTTCACGATGACAGACATCACATTCCACAAGTTGAGGATGACCAATGAACTATCCGAGATATCATGAGATCCTGAACATTTAGTAAAAACATTCACGATAGGCCATACAGTTATTTTTGTATGTAAATGTTCGTTTTTTTAAAGATTGCTATTTTTTGTATTCCTAATCGATTTCACGTAAATAGTATGCCTTATTTTTTATTCAGTTACTTACTCCTAACCAATTTACAGATTTGATATTTTTTATGTAAGTGAAAAGATACAGTGTACACTGCATTAACAAATTGAATTAAGAGCAGTCTATTATCAGCTTATAAAAAGGGATACACATATGAAATTAAGTAGTGTCATACGATTGACCGCTTTGTACCACAAACAGCTCCTAAACAACTAGAGTAAAGTTAAAACCTCAAACAGCTCCTAAACAACTAGAGTAAAGTTAAAACCTGTTTAAGAATAATAAAATTCACATTTGATGGAATTAATTATGACATCACTCAGCGCTATTTGACATTTAATGACTTATACAAAATTAACCCATTTAATTAACATATATATTTTGACAATGATTAGACAGGATACAGATATTTTTCTTTTAATGTCAAAGATATGCAACAGTAGTGAACACTACCGCCTTTGTGTTGTTTATGATTGCGTTTAAAAAGGCATTGACATTTGTAGAAATATATAAATACATACCTCAAGCAATCACAAAACAGACTGATTCTGAGGTATTTGATGACATTCTATGTTTGGAGGGATCATATACTTAAATAAATGATAAAACTAACTATGGTAAGTTGTGTATATTTAAAAGTAAATTACACCTAAAATTAAGTTTGACAAAGGTTTCCTCTAATAAGTTATTAATAAAAAGATATAACATAGTCATGTTACAATTGAGAATTGTTTCAAAACAGATTAATGTATTTTAAAGACGGAAGAAAAGTTAAACATTGATATCGTTGTGAGTTAACATGCAAATGGTTAAACGCATCTGCGGATGAGTTAAAGATTAGAAATTCATTATTGTCACATAACAATTCTAAATTCTGATTAATCCGTGCTACAGAGCGATATCGGTAGCTTGTTTACATCACTTCTGCTTTATACATGAATCATATGGCCGCTGAAATGGCAGTTGGTGATCAGTCATGAATTGTTTAAAATAAAGTAAATGACAGACGGTGTGTAAATTCAAGATCAAATAAAGAAATTATATTAGGCCAGGAATAGTCAATTATAAAACAATTCGATATACAGGACCAACTTTAAAATGTAAGCATTAAGATCTAACATCATATACACATTTACGAGAGTTGTATAGTTTGAAATGAAAATTTAAACAGACAAAAATATGATAATTTATAGCCATGAAATATATAGGCTGAAATGATGCTTTATTTGATTTATTTTAATAACAATTGTATCAAAATTATTGATGTTCAAGCTTCTTAGCTAACCATAATCATAACAACATAATAAAAGTGTAGATGTACAGTTGTATAGTTAGTTATTATATATCTATATCAATATGTATACAATATTGCCATTGTCATGATTGAGGTATTGGTCATACAGCTAAGTAAATACTTTGACGATGGACCATTAATTACAGTTTAACTCGTCAGGGTATTGGATTAAACTATGAACAATACCATCCAAACGTGATCTATAAAAAACGTAGATTTTATATTCAAATTTGTCTCATTTCTTTTTTTCAAATATACATTCGTTCCAACAACTCAAAATAGTCTTAATTCTTTATACTTGGCAGTAAGCAATTAAGCAGTTTCTTGTTTGCTTTTATATAGTTGAATTCACTAAGCCATTTTTATAAATATAATTAACTTGATTTGTGTTTTTTTCCTCTTTTTCTGCGTAAATATTATTTCTGTTAAATTCCGATGTGCGTCCGTCCAAATCAATATTTTCTTTATTTTGTTGAAATGATTACATTTCAATATGATCTGAATTACTTTCAGGACTCGCGAAAAATATGTTTGTTGGCTTTCTTTGCAGTAGCAGCAAGAGCTGTTCCAGAGGTAAACACATCTACATCGACTTTAAATTACTTTTCCAAAGCGTTATTAAAATCTTAGATAAGAAGTTAAAGCATGATTTTAAGATATGACAACTAAATGGTAAGCAATTGCTGAACAATTAATTATCTAGAATAATTGCAGGAACTGTCCATGGAATATATTAACCGATTATGTCATCAATGCCAAACAAAGTTGTACATTTTTGATAAACCTAACCTATTTTTCCATTTTTGCCTAGGCCTTGCAAATTTACAAATGCCCTTGATTTAAGTACAGTAAAGATTCGTTGTAGCGTATAGCTCCTCGGGTATCATCTATGTGTCGTTGTTATCATGTCATATATTATCAATGTTTTATACTTCTAAAAATTCTTTTTTTTTGGGGGGGGGGTGATGCTGATTGAATATATCTTCAACCTGTGCCCGTTGACGTTACAGTTGTTGCTAAACCAAGTTTAAAAGTTTTATTTAATTGCTTTATCTTTCACAGCTCTTCAAAGGTATGTTTTTTGCCGGACTCTGTAATAACTACTGTGTATTTAATGTTAAATGTTGCAATGTTATCTATCGCAGGGTTGTTATTTTTGCAGTCTTTTAGGACAATTGATCCGGATAATCTTGAAGATAAATAATTGCTTACGCCTGACAAATTTAAAGCTAAATTATATCTCTATTGTTTCCACTTTTCTCGATTGATCTCCCTTTCTCAGGTTATTTTTTACATTTTGATATGTTTGTTTAACTACAGTTTCAGAGTTTTGAATCTCATTATGGAGGAAAGATCATTGCAGTTGACGATGCTGTGTTTGATAAACAGGGACAATATGCACTGATCAAAATAAATTCATTATCAGACAAAATTGTTTCAACGCTAAATTTGCATGACTTTAACACGGTATGATTTTAAACTATATATACAACCAGTCAGTATACACCTGCCTTTATATATTATTTTCTTTAAATTCACTATCTCTTATTATTCAATCAAGTAAAGTTATTTTGTAACTTGGTATTGATATTAGTACACGATGAAGTAAAGTCAACAGGCCGTACACAAAAACTTTGAACACTGTAATACATTTAAACTATAAAGGCTGAAACATATAGAAAACATTTCAACGATAAATAACGATAAACAATAACACAAATCTTGCAATATCTTGAAAAGTGTACTCCAGGTCATATAATAAATATTTACTAATAAGTGAAATAAAATTATATATTATACAAATAAAAGAAACCAAAATTACAGAACGAAATTTCGGAACTGGAAAATGCAAACAATTCCAACTCAATTTTACAGGTTAAAACTTTTATATAAGTTATTTGATGATACAAGAATACGAATGGATATCAATAAATTAAATTGTACTAGTTTAAAACCCTTTCAGAATTTCACTGCGGTCAGGAATAACGAAATGCGGAGGTGTCATATCTTCAGAACACGCCATACACTGAGTGAAATGATGGACCTGTATAAAACGGCAATAAATGTAGTTATAGAATGTTTTCATTACTTTTCCGTTTATTGCAAATAACAATGCAAACGAGTTTATACACTTTTGTCAAAATAATTCATGCAAAAGAACAACGTTGCTTGAAGTTAATGAGAAGTTACTACTTGAACAATTCGGTAACCTTGGAACACTTTGTACAATTTCAATAAAATGATCGCACTGAAGATGAGCATGGAATGAAATATGTAAATTTTGAAAAGAAAATCATATGTGTAAATGTTTTATATTTTGCTCAAGCCAGTTTTGAGGACTGGATAGGAAGATGAGAGGCGGAACAGCATCATGCATATACAACGGTCGTCCATGGAAAATTCCGATCAAACCGAATCTGCAACATTTTCACTTTTGGTGCTTTGGGCGAGACTTTAAAATATTATCAGTGTGTCAACTTCTTTGCGCGAACTTTTAATGTAACCGACAAAACTCAAACTAAAAAAAAGAAAAGTAAAATATTAACCATTTTTTATATTGTTATATAAAAATATTCCAGAGAAAAGGCTTCTATGATGTGACACAGACATTCACATGCACGTCAAAGGCAATAGTTCCTACACAAGACATGTTTCGTTTCGGAAAAAGGATAGCTGAATTCTGTCAAGGTGATGAAGTTATGTTCTCTGAAAGAAAATTCATAACCAAAAGAAAACGATCTATCAGGGCGATTCGAGAGGCTTCAAGTAAGTAAAAGAAATGTAGCAAAATGTGATTAAGATTACAATTGATTAAGTACTTTTTTTCTGTTCCAAAATGCCAAAATTTATATCAAGCTGTTACATGACAATACTATGGTTGTTAAATATACTTTTTTTAAACTCTTCATTTTATAGTGTTAACTTAGCTTTTATTGAATTGTCGTTATGGTACTAAAATGTTTATTAACTTGACAAATAGCATGTACTGAACAAAATATTTAAACTTTGTTACATAATATGAGATATGAAAACGGGCTATATTTGTGGAGTCTAGTAGTGAAAGATAAAAAACTAGATCGATTTTCATGACATTTACATGTTTGTATTGCAGTAGCCTGTGGTATTTGTATTGGCGGATGTCATCATTAACCAATAGACCAATAGACCAATTAAAACGTTAAAGCAATCAACAAATTTACACGGACAATATTACAAGGAACGGAATAAGAACTAAACAAAAAAATATGATATTCAAATGTCAACAATATAGTTTTTTATTTGTCGTGCTATGTATATGCTGTAAGTGTTGTACAATAGTGTCATTTTATACATGTAGACCCATAAATATATATCGATTTACGATATCTCAAAGAAAGAAAGTTCGTTTTTGTCCTTTACCTACGACAATGTTGCTCTGATGTACGTACACTAATTATGTTGAACAAATGTCATGCATTTTACATATACAATACTTCGCACTTACAACACAATTCAAACAAAACCGTTTATTGTTTAGGAACATTGTTATCATATTCATATACTAGTAGATATAACTAAAGGATATGTTGAATAGTACGAGGAATGATCTAGAATTACCCGGGTTTACGCAGCAAATTCAATAATACTTATCATATATCCATTTTACGAGTATGCTAATGCAGAATCCATTCTATTTACATGATTTACAAGAGAACTAAAACTATATCAATTAGGATGTGACCAGCACGTGCATAACCAACCAATAATGGTTTGCCTGTATCTTATGTACTTACCCCCCAGTTTGGTGAATGACTAACACGTTAAAAGAAAAAGGTAAGCATTTTAAGATTTTTGAACCTGAGTGATGAGCTTATTAACCTTTTCAGACTCACCTTAAAACTTATATGAGGAACTTAAAAGGGGAAACCTTATGAATTGTGCACATGTAGTACTCTTGACTACTCCTGATCATTTTCGAATCTCTGTCGAGTGGAATTATCTCGCTTTCATCTACAGAAATAGTGTTTAATGTATACAAGACAATATTATTTCATATCTGGAAAGACAATAGACCATTCTTAACACGTTGTTAAAATTAAAACTATAAATTCAATCTTAGGGACAGAGTTACCTTTTGAGTATACTTGTCCAATTCTTTTTCCTTTCTCACCTATTTCCTCTTCAAGATAGCAACGTAATATAATTATATTTACTTTAAATTTTCATGAGATATCAGTTCACTTCTCCCAAATCTAGTAACAAAACTGGTACTCGACAGGATTTTGTTAGTTTGACCTTTTGAAATAGCTCACACACTAAAACTGAAGTGATCAAAGTAATTTACATGAGGAAGATTAATCAAACATTAAAGTATAGTATTGAAATTAAAAAGAAAAGAAAAAAAAAACACAGAACGAAAATAAAACGGTTATATGTATGTTACAAGAACACATAATTTTGTGTGCAAATATATCTTTTATTAATTAAAGACAGAAACGTTTGTTAAACGTTAAGGTGTATTAACAGTTACCATAAACTCTCGTTCCAATTTAACAACAAGGTTTTCTTCCACAATGTCTCTGTTTATCTTCACAATGATTTTATGGACATTTTTTGTTGGAGGCTAATTTTAGGAGACAACTCATCATCAAATATTCATGACAATGTTAATATTACAGATATTTGTTACAATAGTAATTTCAGATAACGGCCTGTTATTTACGCCAGTTATACACCAGTCCTGTTTAAATATTCCAACACACGTTTCATAATAGAATCGTCATGCTTCGTTTTTGCAGATTCATGTGTTTCGTAAATGCAATATTTTAAACATGAGGCATTATTTCATAATTATAGATCGTAACAGTGCCATATCTTGACCTGAAGAGAGATAATAGCATGTATTTATACAAGTATACAAGTTGGTTAATTATTTGAAATAACCAGTGCCTTAAAGCAGTTCACATACAACGTTAGGGTTTGTTCAATTCATCTTTGATAGTCAATACATGTATTTCAATCGATTTAATGGATTTTGCTTGATTTCAGACTACTCCGATCTAAGCAACCATAAAAACTGGCGAATATTCCTGTGCTGTCATACAATTTTACATTATCTGTGAAGAGTGACGATAAAACATCGAAATAAAAAGCTGTAATGCCATAAAGTGTTTTCATTGCCATCTTCAGAATAACTCGCAACTATCACTTTATACCAGTGTTATGAAACATTAATAAATGCATTCATATTTCGAAGCAAGTTTTAAGAAATAAAGAAAAGAAAAAAAGACTTGGAAAGCAACAACAACAACAACAGAAAGCGGTAACATGAGGAACAACCAAAAGCAGTAACATAAGAAGTACATCATCAAGATTATGTCAATTTAGAAAAAGCAGTACACAATTTCTAACTCGAAAGACATTTACAGCAATGTATCACTCCCTAATTTACATTTTTGTTAATTGTCAATACTTTTCTCTCACAGTGACTATAATTTTGTTCTTTTCTATGTTATTCTGAATTTTGTTGTAGCTTTGATTAAAGTACGTAAAAAGCGGGGGATGGGTTCAACAGCTCCCAATAAGAAATTGTGCTAGTAGTGTTTATCTGTTTAGGGTCCGCTTAACTAGATATATTCCGACATAGTTTCGAAAAGATTTCTTAGAGAACAAAATGAAATTCCGCATGAGAATGGCTGCAAATTTTTATTTTATTATCGTATTGATAACTACGAGGGCTGTTCGAAATGAATGACTTATTGATCCACGTGGGACATGATAAAAACCAATACATACCTGTATAAGTTAATTTAATATCTACACAACGGTGTATAAATGTACATGTTAGACTAAGTTTAAGACAAACAATTTGCCATTTAAATACACGCAGTCATTGACCACTGTATTAAAAAAAAGTTGGTAGAAGCGTCGACAAAAAGATGAAATACGGGCTTACATCAAAGCTCATCAGAAACAGTTGATGACTGAACTCTCTACTGCTATTGGGCCTTCTCGTGTGTCTAATGACACAGTAAGGCGATGGAAAAAGAAATTTGAGTCCGGTGTAGAGTGCATCAAAAATGCACCAAAATCAGGTAGGCCAACATCTGCATCTCGTAACGAAATCGTTTCCAAAATAAACGATATCATTGAAGGAGATGCCAGATTTACAGTTCGTGATATTGCATGAAAGGTAGGCATATCACTATCAACGGTTCACTTTACTTTGAAGAAGCATTTGAAAGTCAGAAAGATTTCTGCTAGATGGGTACCACATCTGTTGACCGATGAGCAAAAGAGGTAACGGGTTAAGGTGGCCAAAAAGCTGCTTCAAATGTTTCCAAAATATGACAAAAAAGCAGTTTGCCAATGTCGTCACAGGTGATTACTTGGGTCTATTCATTTGAGCCCGTCAGAAAAGTTAGCAACAAAATCTGGGCCACTAAACATAACAAACGCCCTATAATTGCGAAACGGTCTTTGAGTGCAAAGAAGGTTTTGTATGCAATTTTCTTCTCTGGTGAAGGAGTCGCAATACAAGTGCCGGTGAAAAAGGGCAAATGTATCACGGGAAGTACTACAAAGACGTAGTTCTTAAGAAACTGAAAAAGTATTATAAGAAACGACGCCCTGTCACTGGTTTTAAGCATATCCGTCTTTTACATGACAATGCCCCCGCTCATACCTCCGCAATAGTTCGGCGTATTTGAAAAAAGAAAAAGTAACTGTTTTGCCTCACCCCCCGTATTCTCCAGACCTTGCCCCATGTGATTTCTTTTTGTTTTCGAAATTGAAATCCTTCCTTGCTGGGCGGAAATATATAAGTCCCGACAGGCACTTGGATCTGCCATTCATCACTACCTTATTACTGTGCCCAAATCAACGTACCGTGACGCCTTCAAGAAGTGGATACATCGACTGAAACTTTGCATTTTTAGCCACGGGGAGTACTTCGAGGGCATGAAATGAACACTTTTGAGCTAACTTGAAATTTGAAGTCTCTAGATAAGCAGTATATTTCGAACATCCCTCGTATCTTTTTATTTATTTTGAAACTTTTTTCATTTCTCATACATGTGTATTCAACTAAGAAATTCCCATATTATTGTTTTATATTTTAAAAAAACCGTTATACACATGCACAACTTTCAGACTATATTCGGGGAGACAATTGATTTCCGTTGATGAATGAAGGCTTATTGAAAAAGCCAAAACACTAGTTGCATTAATTTGATTCATTTTTCGAGATTTTTCTCCGTAATCCAAGCAACGTAATCCTATTTAACAACAAATATCGTACTGCATCTGTAATCTGGGACATGATACATCACTATTCTTGCCAGAAATTACCATTCACAAATCACTTAAAAATTTATAAACTTTGAAAATATGTAAAATCAATAAGAATAAATGCAATTTATTACATTTTAATATTTCACAATTGTGTCTTCATTGATTTTGGAACAACAGGGTTTTTTTTTTACTGGAATTTGACGAAGGTCTCTGGTGTAAGCATTATAATAATATAGTTTTAAACGGGGAGAAGTTATTATGTATGCAACCTTTGAGGGATTTTAGTTATAAACATGGTGCTCTTTTAGAATATTATTTTGTCTTGTTTTGCTAAGGATTTAGGTCGCACTAACACATTTTAGGTCATATGGCGACTTCCAGCCTTTACTGGTGGAGGAAGAGCTCAGGTGCCCTTCCGTGCATTATTTCAGGCCAGAACGGGCACCTGAGTGGAACGACAGACGTTACGTAAGATAGCAAGGTTGATAGCTGCCTTACATAAAAAAATCCAAGAGCCCTTTCGAGATTCGAACCCACAGCAGTGAGGAGCAAGTGGTTTCAAACCACTCCGCTACGGATGCCCCGAAAACAGCACATTCCAAATGATCTACTTAGTAATTCAGATCACCCTTAATTACTAAGCGGTATGTCATAGTTCACAAGTTATATATTGTAATAATATATTATCAAACGCTTCAAACTTTTGACCAAAATCGCATGTAATATTAGTCAAATAAGTTGCTGACGAAAGAAACGAAATTTCTTTAAACTATTATTATTGAAAATCGAGAGAACAGAACGCAAAATATCAAACAAAAACATTAACAACTTTATGCTCAGACGAGTTTAACTATCTGTAACTTAGAAAACATTGTTATTTGTGTGTGCTGTAGGTGTTCATGGTATATATGGCATCGTATATATAATTATATAATGTTTAAGCCAGTCGAAGTTATATACATTTATTTACATTATTATAAATATATACATAGTCATGCAATGTTATACTTGAATAATTAACTTATTCCTGTATACTGTCAGTCTTTAAGCTTAAAATATATAAATGGATATTTATGAATTCCCCATTAGTACAACTCTTGATCGTTTTGTCATATCTTTACAATACGGTTTCCTCCCTTCCACTTCGATATACTTTATTCATTTTATATAAGTGTTAATGCTTTATTACATATAACACAGCTGTTTGTGTAATAAATGAAATGTTTTGTTAAACGACTGTTCTCACCCTCGGAATTTATCCCGCATTATGTAACACTTTTTCCACTAAAAATATCAAGATCTTCTTTAATTGCACAATTTGGTGATTATGATTGAGTGTAAAGCATATGAACGTCAATTTGGCAAGAAGAAAGTCGGATGTAAG